TGCATCCATCGGGCTCTGACCGTGTCACTCAGCATGTTTATCCTCACTATGGCCTAGAACTGGCTCAGGCTGTTCTGACCTTAAAAATAGTGGCAGCACAGGGATTTGGTCAAAACAATACCAACCTCTTTGCATGGGTTCCCAAAAGATAAAGTAAAGATTCAAAAGTTGGAAACTTATATACTACATCTCAAGAGGTTAGAGTAGAAAACTGGGGTGAGGCCAGTGACTAAAGTAAGGACATCAATTAAAGAAGAGGGGTCTTTGATTGTTATACTTATTTTTATCAGCACAAGATAAAACTCTGAAATGCTTGGATTCTTACTCAAAATCTTCTAAACTTCCTGCACAGTTAGGACATGTCCCAGTTTCTATGTGCTGATCAGGACACAGGTTTCCAGGAAAGGGTGAACCTGCTGCTCACTCTCCTCTGCCCCACCCATTCACCCACCTGGTGGTCTACTGAGAGTCACAGGAACAAGGCCAGTGAGACTGGGAAAATCTGGGAGACTTAGGATGCTGGCCAGTGATCGCTACAGAAATTCCCTTTAGGAAACACAGTTATGGTTAAGTCTTAGGAGACACAGTGTTTTGTGCTCACTGTTAATGATCATGGTTACAAACAACATAACTATGTTTTTGGACCTGGACTCAAACAGGAAGGAGAAGTGAATCTGATGAAGGCTTAGAGCCCCTTGGAGTATAGTGTGGGCTGACAGAAATCAACTACAGACTCTGCACAAGCATCCTGACTCCAAGAATAGTGGGGCTGTTCCAGGCAGCCCTCTACCACCTTGGGACATCTCCTAGAACCAGAAAGTTCCTGGAGAGCCACACTTCTAACCTGGGTCTCCAAATAGTGAAGCAACTGAAGTCAGTAGCTTTCCAGTGACAGCACTTTCCCAGTATGACAAGGTTGTCTGCGGGTATTTGTTGTTGTCATGCCTCATGTTGAGTCTGTACTAAATGGAACAAAATGTTGCCCAGTCCTCAGCCATCCCCATGATTGGTTGCAGATCACCCGTTGCGATACATAAGGGTTGCATTGGATGCTTTTCAGAAATAGCTCAACAGAGCTTTTCTCCTAGTCTGCCTTAGTCTGGAAGTTTGCTGAAACCTATTCAGCATCATAGCAACACAGACTTCTCCATTGACACACGGGTAGTGGCTCTACACAAAATGCATTGGCCGGAAATACTACCTGAGTTTCCCACGTGAAAGGCAAGAACACCACCACAGAATGACTAATGAGTGTGGCCGGTGGAACTTGCTTTCACCTTTGTGTTCTCATGGGACGTGTGCACACAATCAAACCAATCATCCTGAATATCTGATGTGACCCAGCCACAAATAAAAGAGCTGATGGGAATTCCTATGAGATTTTGAGTGGGTGGACCCCATCCAAGGCGTGATCATTCTTACTGTCTTGGTGGTTTTCAGCAGCCTCCTGAGAATCACACATTTGAGAGTCACAGCCTTCTAATGATGGGCTTCTCAGGGAACCCTAAACCTCCATGTTTGGTTCTAGCAGATGTGTTTCCTGATCTTCACTAATCCAGCTCATCTAACAACGTTGGGTGCATTAGGTTCCCTGTGTTGCATCTTTCCCGCTTCAAATACCTGGAGGGGCTTGTGTTTTCTTGATTCAGCTGTGACTTACACAGTAATAGGTAACAAAGTAATTCCAGGAAGCAGAACCTCAGGGATGGGAAATGAGACTGCTTATCTGATTAATTAATTTGATTGATCATGAAGTAAGTGAGTATCACATCGGTTGGAAGGAGACATAGGTAGTCCCAGCATATGGTAGCAAAACTGCCACCTAAACAATCACCTTGTTGCTGGA